CGGCGGGGGACTGCGGGCGGGTCTCTAGGCTCGCGGTGGGGTCTCGGAACTTCCGCAGCGCCGCCCACGGGTCGGAATGGAGGAGGCGCGCCCTCTCGCGGCCATCGCCCGCAACTTGCGCTCCTGCCCGACCGTAGCCGGGAAACCTCCCTCCCTCCTTCCCTCCCTCCCTCTCCTTCCCTCCCTCCCTCTCCTTCCCTCCCTCCCTCCCCTTCCCTTCCTCCCTCCCTCCTTCCCTCCCTTTGGCCTGGGCACTGTCCCTTAGCTTTTTCCATTCAGGGCTGGCTTTCAGTCACTTGAGCCACACCTCCTTTTCTAGTTTTTGATGGTTAATTGGAGATAAAAGACCGAGGGACTTCAAACCTTGGTCCTCCGATCTCAGCCTCCCAAGTAACTAGGATTATAGGTGTGAGTGGCCACATCCTGGTTTCTTGAAGAACAAAATAGCTTGGGCTGGGAAGGTGGCTCAGTGGTAGAGCGCTTGCTTGCCTTGCATGCATGAGGCCCTGGGTTCAATTCCTCAGTACCACATAAGCAAAAAGAAAAAAGCCGGAAGTGGCACTGTGGCTCAAGTGGTAGAGCGCTAGCCTTGAGCTGAAGAGCTGAGGGACAGTGCCCAGGCCCAGAGTTTAGGCCCCACGACTGGACCCCCCCCCCAAAAAAAAGAACAAAATAGCTCTGGCTGTGACAGGCACCTAAGATATGACGCTGGACCTAGAGATGGCAGCACTGTGAAACCACAGGTTTAACCTGCTCTGTGCCAAGACCTGGCCTACAGTGGTGATCTTTAGCTCCCCAGTCCCTTGGTATGAATGAGGACTGTTTGGATAATTAGTACCTGCACCCCTATTCTATGTAAGGTCCAGGACTTGTCATATGTTAGAGCATAAACACCAGATCCCTTTCTAGTAATATTTCCTGCATTACTATAGCAAAGCATATATCCGTGTGTTTAGATTTTAATTCCTGGTACTTGAACTCAGGTCCTGGGCAGTGTCCCTGAGCTGCTTTTGCTCAAGGCTAGCACTGTACCATTTGACCCACAGTGCCATGTGCAGCTTTTTCTGCTTATGTGGTACTAAGGAATCGAACGTGGTACTAAGGAATTGAACCTGGGTCTTCATGCATGCTAGGCAAGCACTCTACCACTAAACCACATTTCGAGCCCTACATTCCAAATTCTAATGAGGCATGAGGACATGAAGCATGTCTGTATGTAGTGGCCTTTGCCCCTGTCCTGCATGTGAGGTTCTCATTCCCGATATTTAACCCAGATTACTCACTTCCACTATCATAAAACCTTAAGTTTGAGGTGGGCACAGTGATTTACACCTGTAACCCTAGCTACTCAAGAGGCTCAGATCTGAGAATCTTGGTTCAAATCCAGCCCAGGCAGTAAAGTCTGAAACTCTTATTCCTAGCTAACCAGCGAAAAAAAGCCAGAAGAGATGTGGCTCAAGTGATAAAAGTGCCAACCTTGACTGGAAAAGCTAATTGACAGCACCCATGCCCTAAGTTCAAGTCCTGCTACTAATGTGCTCTTGCGTGCCCTTTTAAGAGCCTTTGAAGTTCCTTTGATGTTCGCTGCCTTTTCCAGATCCATATATTGTTACTGGAACCAGTGAAGGTGCCAGGGGGAGGTGCCTGGTTCTTGGAGTGGGTACTGAATTTATTTATTTACTTGCCAGTCCTGTGGCTTGAATTCAGGGTCTGGGTGCTCTCTCTGAGATTGTTTTGCTCATGGCTAGTGCTCTACCACTTGAACCACAGTGCCACTTCCAGCTTTGTCTGAGTCGTTCATTGAAGACAAGAGTCTCATGGGCAGACTGGCTTTGAACCTTGATCCTTGGATCTCAGCCTTCTGAGTAGCTGAAATTACAGGCGTGAGCCACTAGTGCCCACCTAGAAAAAGAATTTATGATATTGTCACAAAAAACCTGTAAGGACACATCAAAGAAGAGACAAAGAAAGTGCATTAGTAAGCAAAGCTAAGCCAGTACACAACCAGAAGTGGATGTGGGCATGTCAGATGACAGGTACAAGGACCACCCTAGTCTCTGGGATACTTATGGTGAAAAAAGCAGTCTGGGGAAGCCAGCAACTGTGGCACATGCCTGTAATCCTAGATGCTCAGGAGGTTGAATTCTGAGGATTGTGGTTCAAAGCCAGCCTGAGCAGAGAAGTCAGTGAGACTCTTTATCTCCAGTTAACCACCAGAAACCTGGAAGCGGAGCTGTGGCTCAATGTGATAAGAGTGCTAGCTTTGAGTGAAAAAGCTCAGGGGTAGCAGTAAGGCCCAGATGTCAAGCCCTACGACTAACAGACACAAAAAATAGTCTAGGGGAAAGCAAAGGATGACACTGTCCAGTAAAGAAATGTATTCATTACCTGACTTATGAAATGGTAACCGTGCTGTACAGTTAATAACAACAATAAAATTAAAAGAAGAGTTTGGGGTTTGGCTAAAATCCTTAGGATGAGGGTTTCCCTTTCATCCCACACTGCCTGTTGTCAGTCACAGTTTTATCAACTGGTTAGAATTTCCAGGCTGCTCTGTTTATTTCATTTGGATCATTAAAACATAAAATGTCTGAATATTCCTTTTACCAAAAGGATGGGATCTGTCACAAACTCCTGGTGTCCATCTTTGAGATCAGTATTTTCCTTTGCAAACACTTCTCAAATGATTTGTTTCCAGGATGAGTATCTTTTAAGATTTCCTTGTCTGTTTCCAGAGTACACATTTGAACGAGCAGACAAGATTATAGGGAGCTGTTCTTCCCCCAACCCTGCCACTTTTTTTTTCTTAATGTTGCAGTTTATTGAGGGAGTATAAGCCTAAAAGCAAAGAAAAAATAGTATCTGTGTGCTGCAGCTTTTCTTTTTTTTTTTTTGACAAGTCATGGGTCTTGAGCTAAGGGCCTAGATGATGTCCCTGAGCTTCATTTGCTCAAGGCTAGCACTCTACCACGTGCTACTGCACCACTTCTGGCTTTTTGTTTATGTGCTATTGTGCTAGGCTAGCACTCTACCACTAAGCCACATTCCCAGCCCAGTTTTTTTTTTTTAAACTGGAGTTAGGGCTCAGTCACTTGAGCCACAACTCCACCTCCAGCTTTTGGGAGGTTAATTGGAGATAAGAATCTCAAGTGCTATATCAGCCTTCTGAGTAGTTAGTATTACAGGCATGAACCACAAGCACCCGGCTTGCATTGCTTTCCTTCCTTCTCTGCTTGTAGTAAATGTACTTTTTCTAGTTCAAGCTGGACGCTTAGAACAACTTAGGATATTTCTTCTTGTCTAAGGTAAACATTCAATACTACCATTTTCCCTCTAAGCCCCATTTTAGCTATACATAATTCATATTCATTCAGTTCAAAATTCCCTTTGAAAGCTCTTGCTGGTTTTACCTGCCTCTGTCTTTGGGTCTTACCTGATGATATCAACAGCTCTCACAAAGCTTTCATTCACTAGATAGCTTTTCTCTGAAAACTGCTTGGGCTCTTTCTTGCTTTCACCCTGGAGTACCAGTAAATTAGCACCACTCATGAATAAGAACTTATATTCATGAATAGTTGCAGGAGGGTGTAGTAAACTTTGTTAAAATTATACATAGAGATGTACCTCACGAGTAACTCTTCTCTACCTTGTGTGGCCACAGATCAATGGTGTGTGTGTGTGTGCAGGTTCTGTCTGGCACTTGAAATCAGGGCCTGTGTAGTAAACTTTGTTAAAATTATATATAGAGATGTACCTCACGAGTAACTCTTCTCTACCTTGTGTGGCCACAGATCAATGGTGTGTGTGTGTGTGCAGGTTCTGTCTGGCAACTTGAAATCAGGGCCTGTTAGCCCTGAACTCAAGGATGGTGCTCTACCACTTGAGCCACAGCTCCATTTCCAGGTTTTGGTGGTAAATTTAAGAAATTTTGGACATTTTCCTACCCAGCTTGCTTTGAACCTCAATTCTTGCATCTTAGCCTCTTGAGTAGCTAGGATTACAAGGGTGAGCCTCAAGTGCTGGCTGATGTACATTTTTGCATTGAACGTCTGAGATTCCCAGGCCCACTCTCTGACCACCCTCAGGATCATGGATAGAGCATGCAACCACGATTTAAAAGAGGATACTGAGGAATTACAGAAAATACGAAGATAGGGTTGGAGGCACAGCTCAGTTGGTAAAGCACTAGCCAGTGAGTGAAAGTGACAGGTCTCCGAGTCTCAGAACTAAAACAAAAGATAAGAAAATATGAAGAACACAAGGTGCATTAATTGAAGAGCAACAGGGTTCTAATTTCTCAAGGGAATGTGAATAAAAAGGAACATGCCTTGCTTGGACAAATGCAAAGTTAAAATGCTGGGTAGCAAATGTATTTCTAATAATATTGGCTGAATTGCAGTGAACAGATGTTTTCACTATACCCACTGAAAGATCTAGGACAATCCATCCACTGTACAGCATAACAAAGTGCTTGGTATTCAAATATTTTACATGATTTTTCACTGAAGGAATTTATCTCAGTAGCTCTTATTGTCTCTCTTTTGCAGACTACAAAAGTTGAAGTTAAAAATATTAACAAACCGGGCACCAGTGGTTCGTGCTGCTAGCTTCTCAGGAGGCTGGGATCTGAGGATCAAGTTTTGAAGCCAGTCCAGGCAGAAAAGTCTGTGAGCCTTATACCTCCAATTTAGCCCCCAGAAGTGGAACTGTGACTCAAGTGGTAAGAGTTCCAGTCTTGAGTAAAAGAGACTCAGGCATAGTGCCCAGGCCTGCATTCAATTTCCAGAACTGGCAGGGTTAGAGACTGAACTCAGAGCCTTGTGCATGCTAGGCACACACTCTGAGCTACCTCATCAGCTGGTGTGTGTGTGTGTGTGTTAGTTGATTTGAACTCAGGGCCTGGGTGCTGTCCTTGAGTTGTTTTTTTTTTTTGCTGAAGGCTAGTACTCTACCACTTGAACATTTATTTCCAGCTTAGGCTGTTTCTGAACTGCAATCTTCAGATTTCAGCCTCCTGAATAACAATGATTATAGGCATGAACCACTGGTACTTGGCTTCAAAATATTGCATCTTCACAACACAAATATTCTGAAGGACTGAGCAGGCCCATGTCTCTCAGCGAGGGTCCTTGCTGTGTACCCGCTGGTGGATGTGGAGGTTGGAGCTCTGACTGAAGCCCTTCCCACACTGGCCGCACTCGTAAGGCTTCTCCCCAGTGTGTACCCGCTGGTGGATGAGGAGCTTGGAGCTCTGACTAAAGCCTTTCCCACACCTGCCACAGTGGTAGGGCTTCTCTCCGGTGTGGACACGGAGGTGAATGCGAAGGTCTGAGCTCTGGCTGAAGCCCTTCCCACACTCGTAGCACTGGTAGGGTTTCTCTCCCGTGTGGATGCACCGGTGAATGTGCAGGTTCGAACTCTGGCTGAAGCCTTTCCCACACTCCCTGCACTTGTAGGGCCTCTCTCCTGTGTGCACCCGCTGGTGTATGTGCAGGTTTGAGCGCTGACTGAAACTCATGCCACACTCCCCACACTCGTAGGGCTTCTCCCCCGTGTGCACTCGCTGGTGGATATGCAGTTTGGAGCTCTGGCTGAAGCCTTTCCCGCACTTGTCACATTTGTGAGGTTTCTCTCCAGTGTGGACGGCGTGGTGGATGAGCAGGCTGGAGCTCCGCGTGAAGCCTTTCCCGCACTTGTCACACTTGTAAGGTTTCTCGTCCGTGTGGACGGCATGGTGGATGAGCAGGCTGGAGCTCCGTGTGAAGCTTTTCCCGCACTGCCCACATCTGTAGGGTTTTTCTTTGAGGTCCCCTTGATGGTGACGTGGCTCTGCATTCTGATTGCAGGGTTTCCCATCCTGATCACATTTGCAAAGTTTCTCTGCAGCTTGCACAGTCTCATGGCGATGAAGTCTGTCCTCATAGTGCTCATGGCTGCAGGACGTCCCCTCTGTGTGAGTGCTTTGATGACTGCAACTGACCAACAGGGGCTGTGGTTCACAAACATCTTTACATTGACAGTCGAAACTAGCAGGAGATCCTTTCAACTGTCCATTCTGGCAAGGTGCCTGACCACTGAGCAATGGCAGCCCCACATCTGTTACAGCAGATGCAAGGTGGAGTTGAGGGTTGTCTGAAAGATGGGCCTCGTGAGGACTTTCTCTGCTTACTAACACTTTGCTCTCAGTGCTCTCTTCATTTACAAAGAGACCTTTGCTCTCCTGAGACTCCTTCTTACAGAATTCCACAGAGGAGTCTCGTATGGCCATTTGGCTTTAGACTTTTCAAAGACAATTTTTTTTTGTTTTTATATTTGCAAAATCACTTTGAAGAGTTACCACACTCTTTGTATTTGTGGAAATATGGTAGAATGTTTTTTCTCCACTTTGTGTGTGTGTGTGTGTGTATGTGTGTGTGTGTGCCAGTCCTGGGGCTTCTTAGGGCCTAGATGCTGTCCCTGAGCTTTTTTTTTCTTCCCTCCCTCAAGGCTAGTGTTCTACCACTTAAACCACAGGTCCACTTTCAGCTTTTGCTGTTGAATTGCAAATAAGAGTTTCAGACTTTCTTGTTCGGGCTGGCTTCAAACTGATTTTTAGATCATGGTCTCCTGAGTTGCTACAGTTATAGGTAGAGCCACTGGCATCAGGCTTTTCTTCACTTTGAATTTAGTTCAGGATCCCTGTTCTGTTCCCCCTTGAAGATTCACAATGTAATCCTGACATCCGGGTACTGAGTGGTTGTAGTTTCTTCCAAAATTAGGCAGCAGGAAAGCTCATGTACGGAGTACTTATGTTCTTTTTCTTCAAGAATCTCCATAGAATTTTCACTCAACTTTCCTAGGAAACCATTCAGTGATAAGAAAAAAAAAGGGTAGACTTTAAGATTTCAGAACAGGAGTGCCTAAGGCCTAAATGCTTGGCAACTAGGACAGAACCTGGCTTGTCCTTGGAGTCATCTCCTTTAGGTTACTGTCAGGAGAAGGGAGACAGACCTGTGTTCAGAAGACAGACAGTTCTCTGCTTCTTTTTTTTTGGGGGGGGGTATATATGTGTGTGTGTACTACTACTTAGGCTTGAACTCTGGGCCTGGACACTGTCCCTCAGCTCTTCAGCTCAAAGCAAGTACTCTACCATTGGAGCCACAGCACCACTTCTGTTTTTCTGGCTGTTAATTGGTGATAAGAGTCTCACGGACTTTCCTGCTTTGAACCATGATCCTCAGATCTCAGCCTCCTGAGTAGCTACGATTACAGGCATGAGCCACCAATGCCCAGCCTGGGTGCTGTTCTTTAGCTTTCTTCTCAAGGCTGCTCTACCACTTGAGCCACACCATTACTTCTAGGTTTTTGGTGGTTAACTGGAGATAAGAATCTGATGGACTTTTCGGCCTTGGCTGGCTAAGATCCTGATTTCAGCCTCCTGACTAACTAGGATCACAAGCATGAGCCACTGGCACCTGGCTTGAGAAGATTTCTGAGTAAAAGTGTGGGACATGGAGACAAAATAGTGGTTGATATTCAGTACAGGGAAAATTTTGGAAGTTATAGGCACTGTAATTATTGTCTACCTTTGGCCCTCAGCTCCACCCAGACCTGAGCTCCTCCCTGCCCTGGAGTGCCTGCCATACAGCTGACCCCTCCCTTTCTCTGCTCAGACCTACCTGAACTCCCATCTACCTCACTTCCTACCCCTCAGACCCTGCTGCTAGTGGAGGCTGCCATGTGCTCTCTCTCCGGGGCAAATATGGCTCCTCCAATAAACCTTTCTCCTGTGCCTGCCTGCCTCTGCGAGGTCCCCTGGGATGGATGTGACGGATCCTTTCAATTATTTTCTGTGTGGAACTTCAATTGCCCAAAAAAGAGCAACAAGAATTAACAAATGAGCTAGGTGCCATTGGTTCACATCTGTAATCCTTGCTATTCAGGAGGCTGAGACTTGAGGATCACGGTTCAAAGCCAACCAGGGCAAGAAAGCCTGGGAGAGTCATCTCCAATTAATCAGCAAAAAAGCTCAAAGGTTAGAATGTCTGCCTTGAACTGAAAACGTTAAGAGAGAGTGCCAGGCTCTAAGTTCAGGCCTCAGGGCTGGCATTAAAAAAAAAAAAGACAAAATAGGATTGCATCAAATAAAAACGGTATTATACAAGGAAGCAAAAACAAACTAAAAAAAAAACAAGACAACCCACAGAATGTATGAAAATCTTTGCCAGATTTAAAGGATTAATATTCAGAATATACAAAGAGCTCAAGACATTAAACAGCAAAAGAACAAATAACTCAATAAATGGCCAAATGAACAGTTCTCAGAAGAAGAAATACAAATGACTCATAGATACATGAAATGTTCATCATCCTTAGCCATAAAGAAATGCACATCAAAATCAGAATAAGATTGTATTTCACCTCAGAATGACATCAAGAGAACAATAACTGCTGGCGAGAATGTTGTGGAAAAAGCAACCCTTATACACTGTTGGTATGTGCACGGGTGGATGTGGACTGAACCCAGGAATTTGAACTTGAATGCTAGACAGCATTCTGCTACTGAGCTACACTCCTCACACCCACTGTTTTATAACTTTGTTTTTGTGCAGGTACAGGGCTTAAACTCAAGGCCTGGGCATTTTCACTCAAGGCTGGTGCTCAACTACTTGAGTCAAAGATCTGCTTTTGGCTTTTTGGCGATTAAGTGGAGATGAGTCTCAGACTTTGCTGCCTGGGCTGGCTTCAAACTTGGATCCTCTCAGATCTCAGCCTTCTGAATGGGTAGGATTATAGGTGTGAGCCACCACCAGTGCCAAACTTATTATATACATACACATATACATATATATATATACATAAAATATATATAGTATGTATGTATATCTCAAGGACAGCTCCCAGGCCCTGAATTCAGGGCCCAAGACCTGTATGAAAACAACACTTCTCCCACAGCAAAATGTCAGGCCATCTTAATAATAGGCCTGATCCAGCTTCATTGCATAGCAAAATGAAAATGTTAAGGTGACGACAGAGAGATTAATATGGAGTGGCAATTTAAAAAGCTTGGTTGGGGGCATTGCTCAAGAGGTAGAATGGCTATCCCATAAGCATGAGGTACCAAATTCAATCTCAAATACCATACACACACAAAGTAAACACTCATTTCCTGAGAGTTTGACAATAGTAAAGATAGGATGAAGTGACAGAAAATGATCCAAGAAGTAGCACACAAAAAAATGTTTCTTAGAAAATTCAAGATTCAACCAGGTGCCAGTGGCTAATGCCTATAATCCTAGCTACTCAGGAGGCTGAGATCTGAGGATCATGGTTTAAAGCTAGTTGGGAAAGAAGATCTGTTAGACTCTTATCTCCAATTAACCACCAGAAAACCAGAAGTGGTGCTGTGGCTCAAATGGTAGAGTGCTACCATTGAGCTGAAGGGCTCAGGGACAGTGCCGAGGCCCAGAGTTCAAGCCCCACCACCGACCCAAAAAAAAAAAAATTGAAGATTAGTGTGCAGTGCATGTAAAAGCAAAATGTAAGGTTCTGGAGGTGTGGCTCAGTGTGAGCCAATGAGCCAAACAAAGTGTCAGGTACTGAATTTGAGTTCTAGTCTTGGACCAGTCTGAAAAAAGCACTATGTGAAATGACTCAAAGCCAAAGTACAAACTGCAAAACCTCAGGACCTCATGAAAAATAAGGCACACAGGCTCTCAACTAATCCTAGCTTCTGAGTCCAGACTCCATAAACAAAACACTCCATAAACAAAACAAAATCCAGATAGGACAGTGAAATTATATACATGTAAATGTGGATTTTATGGACACTAAACTACAAATGGATAGAAGATACTATCAGAAATTCTGGAGACAAAGTGAAACTAGAATGCTACATGTAACCAAGCAACCATTTCAATGAGAAGACATGGAGGAATTCAATTACTACAACAAATCACCCAGAAATGTACTATAGAAATAAGCTAAGGAAAAGATGATACACGAAATAATAAAGTACGTATTCCAGGACTGGTGCCTGGTGGCTTATGCCTATAATCCTAGATACTCAGGAGTCAGATCCAAAAATCATGGTTTGAAGCCAGATCAGGCAGAAAAGTCTGTGACACTCTTTCTCCAATGAAACAGCAAAAAGCCAGAAGTGGATTTATGGCTCAAGTGGCAGAGTGCTAACCTTGAGTGAAAAAAGCCAAACAAAAGGTATAAGTCCCTGAGTTCAAGCCTTAGTATTGGCACCCACAAAAAATACCTCTTTACCTGACCCATGCAACTACAAGCCCTCTGTACATCACTTGTTTTGTTTTTAGGTTTTTTGCCAGTCCTGGGGCTTGAACTGAGGGCCTGCGCACTGTCCCTGAGCTTCATGCTTAAGGTTAGCACTCTTCCACTTGAGCCATAGTACTACTTTCAGCCTTTTGTTTATGTGGTACTGAGGAACTGAACCCATGGTTTGTGCATGCTAGGCAAGCACTCTACCACTAAGCCACATTTCCAGCCCCTGTACATTACTTTTTTTTTTTCGGGTCCAGTCATGGGGCCTGAACTCTGGGCTTGGGCACTGTCCCTCAGCTCTTCAGCTCAAGGCTAGTGCTCTACCACTTGAGCCACAGCGCCACCTCCGGCTTTTTTCTTTTTGCTTATGTGGTGCTGAGGAAT